GAAAAGGATAGCCTATCAACTTTATCATTTACCAATTGTACCTGATTATGTGGGATAGAGTCAGGGCAAAGATCTTCCCAGCAAACATTGCTTGCCACTGTTCTCTTGTGGATAAATGTCATAAAACTATTTCTACTGGAGTGTAGAGTGGAAATATTTGATCAATATCAAGCTCAGCTTGTCCTGTCCTTGTTCCTGATCCATGAAGATGTCCCCACCTGATAGAATTTTATCCACCTGCTGAACAAGCAGCTTCTTCAACATGAAATACTTTTGCATTACAAGGCAAGGGAGACTCATAGCTCAGCCTATTCCTTCACGCAGGCTGTTTTTTTGCAATGAACCAATTCAATACAAAGAAATCTGCACAAAATCAGAATCTGTGAGTAAACCCTGGTGGAACTTAACTTCTGACAACTTTAGAGCCCAGCAGAGACCTCCTTTTGCAAAGGTGACCAAAGCAGAGAAAGCCAGAAGAAGATTGTGTTGTTCAATGATTACTCTACCCCAGTAGCACAAAGCTTTAAAATCCCCTATGAAGGAAATTTAATTGATGCAATCAGTTTGGCCTCCACAGGCTGCTTAAATTCTCTATATTGCTAGAATTCTATTACTGTAAACTAGATGAGGCATATGTGCTCATTCCAAGGCTGCTGCATTAATTAATTAAAATTAATTAAAATAATTCTTAATTTTCCTGTAAGATGAAAGGGACTGCGATTTAATCGCAAAATATGCAAACAGGACCACATCTATAATGACTAACATCTTCAAAATCATTAGGTTTTGCTCAGCCTTTCTATTTATGTTAAATTTGTAGCAATCCCTTTGCTTCTAATTTCATCCTATCTGTTTTACACAAGTCATATACAGGTAGTCCTCGTCTTACGACCACAATAGAGCCCAAAATTTCTGTTGTTAAGTGAGACATTTGTTAAGTGAGTTTTGCCCCATTTTATGACTTTTCTTGCCATAAGCAAATCACTGCAGTTGTTAAGTTAGTAACGGTTGTTAAGTGAATCTGGCTTCCCCATTGACTTTGTCATAAGGACGCAAAAGAGAATCACATGATCTTGGGACACAGCAAAGGTCATAAATACGAGTCAGCTGCCAAGCACCTGAATTATGATCACATGATCATGGGAATGCTGCAAAGGTCGTAACTATGAAAAATGGTGATAAGTCACTTTTTCAGTGCTGTTGTAACTTTGAACGGTCACTAAACAAACTGTTGTAAGCCAAAGACTACCTGTACTACCAACCCTGTTCATAATTTTCATTTCTGTATCCTTTTCAGTTACAACATTGTAGAAACTAACTTCAGCCTTCTTTTTCTTTCTCTCTCCTTCTGCTGTATTTTTGCAATACTAGCAAAGTCTTCGCTGAGCTATTCAAGCCTCACCTTTCTCATATGACTACTGCAGACTTAATTTTGTCTCCTACCCAACCCACTAATTGTTTGTAAGTAATTTACTTGTCCCAGATATTTTACTTACACCAAACCAGTAAACAAACTGCTGTCAGCTTTGTGCCCATAATATTAAATATACACGATGCACAATGTTGTATGCAGTGGCAGAAAGTGGCTACTATGGCAAGAGGTTTGCTCATTCAAACAACAACAACAAGAACAAGAACAACAACATGGCTATGATTATTGAAGAAGTTAGTCACAGGCAGTAATTCATCAGAAATGTGACTGTCATCCTTTGCACTTTCCTCAGATGAACTCTATACATCTCACTCCAAAAGAGCGAACAACCTATTTTATTTTTCTAAGACATACTTTTGTTCTTCACATGATCACATCCCTATAATGTTGGGGACCAGTTAATCTCCAACTAACATGCTAGGGGTTTTTCTTAAGTTAAAATGAAAATAGAGAAAGAGAGAGGAGAGAGGAAGAGACAGAGAGAGAATATTTGTCAAACGGAGGAAAAAAGACAGGCACTAAAGAGATTTGTTTGTTTTCTGAAGAGATAAACATATTTCATGGGATTCCTTTGAAAGTAAATTCATTAGGGGAAGGCATGAAATATTTTTCATTTGACTTATATAAATATTATGTGTGCGTGTGTTTATTACCTCTAATTGATTTTTATATATTATATATATAAGCTTTCTCATTCGTCATCTTCAGGCTGGTGTTCTCGGCTTCGTGCTTCCAGGAGTAATATATATATTAAGCTTATTTATATAAAAGTCAATCAGAGGTAATAAAAACACCTTTATTCTATTTCAGTGCTTAAAGGGAGAAATGTGATAAACTATATGTACTCATACATATAGTTTGGTCTGGGCCAGCTTTGAGTCTCCATCCCTCCCCCCTTCCCCTCCCCCCTCTCTCTGTGTTGCTATGGAGAGAGACAGAGGCAGAATTTCTAGTGACAAATATAAAGTGATTTCAAATATTTAAATTCCCAGATTGGATTCAGACAGTTTATAACATGATGCATTCTATTTATTTTTTTTTCCAAAAGAGCAATCAGTTAAACAATGTAATTGCTGGTGTTTTCTTACCAGGATGACAAGTTTGCATTTCATAAGGGAAAAATATGAGCACCTGGTTCCTTGAGCAGAATTACCTGTTTGTCAACATACTAGAAGACAGATAGCAAGCCAGCCCTACCTACTTGTTTTACCCCACTCCTTTTTCCTGGAGGGAAAAGGTTGTCCTCTGCTAGTTTACACATTATTAAAATAATATTATTTTCTCCTCTCTTGGTCATCTCTCTATAAGATGAGGCTCCCGGCTGCAAATGCTCTTGAAAGCCTTGGGTAGAGTTAATATGATAGAAGGACAACATTATTGAATAATGAATAATGGTTACTTTATATTTAAACTTCTTAATTGACATTTACAATATAAATAAAATTAAATGTAGTTTTTTTTAAAAATTCTCATGGACTCTCCCATTTTGGGGAATGTGATCCCTGGAATGCCCTTCAAAATCCAAATGTGGTCTTCAGTCTAAAAAAAGGTTGAATATTTCTGTGCTACATGATCTCATTTTAATGGAATGGATTTGTTCTGTGCTGCGAAAAACAAATCCCTATCACTCATAGCAAGCCATCTTGCCATGTTTTAACAAGCTGAGTTCATGCCAGCAAACCATTTTACCTGCAATAGATTTGCCATCCAGGAATCCCTTTGGGATGGATTTGTTACAATTATTTCTCTCCAATTGCAAGACTGCATTGAGATCTCTTGCTACAATTCTCTCTGGTTTCACAGTTAAGACTGCCATCTCATGGTTTGTTCTTGAACAACAGTTTGTATCTTTTAGTTATGCTTTTTTTTTTTTTTTTGGTAACTCTAAAAAGAGTACATTCTATTTTAGGGAACTTTAGAAAAACAAAACTTTTGCGTGCTTTAAGTATTTCAATAGACAAATCAATGCATTGACTAACACAGAATGCATAATCAAATATGTAAAAAATATCCATTATTGACTTTTATTACAAAAATAAATGATGGCTCTGGACCTGAATAATTTACATTCATTTGGAAAAAAAACAAAACAGCAAACATATGATAGGAAGATGGCTGGAAAAAAATAGGTTTGCTTAGGTCTACTACACTGTTTTGCACGCTTGACAGATGACTATCTATCCTCTGCTTAAATCAGTATAGCAGAGAAGAACCTCAAAACCCCAAAAGGCAAACAGTTCCACATATGGACAGATATTATCAGGGAGTTTCTTCTTGGTTTTGGCCCAAACCTGATTCCTTTCAGTTTTCACAGAGCATAATTTGTAAAGCTAGCAAAACTCTATTTGAGCAAAAACCTGTCTACTGGATTATTCACCAGTCTCCTCCTCAAAGTCTTGTTGGTTGGGAATATTGGCAACTCTGATCTCATGCCACTCAATAGTTGACATGGCATCAGACATTTGGTGACGCATGTGGTCTTAATACTTCAGCAGTGTTTCTCAATTTTGCAACTTTAATTGTGTGGACTTCAGCTCCCACAATTGCCTAGCCAGCATGCCAAGGTTGAGAAAGACTAACTTAAATGGGAGCTGGCAGTTTCACTATGCTTTTCTTAAGCCCTAGTTGCATAGGGAGTAATCATGTTCAGCCCTTTTATTCTGCTCTTTCGTTAAAATCCTTTTATAAACTTGGGCATCTTGGAGGTAAAAGGTTGTCCTCTGCTAGTTTACACATTATTAAAATAATATTCTTTTCTCCTCTCTTGGTCATCTCTCCATAAGATGAGGCTCCCGGCTGCAAATGCCTCTTGAAAGCTTTGGGTAGAGTTAATATTATAGAAGGACAACATTATTGAATAGTGTACAAAATTGTGAAGCTTTAAGAAACATTTAAAACAATTGAGAATTTATTGCCCCTTCTAAGTTCATATCAAGTGACAGCAGAATAAAAGTGTAAAGCATCTATTTTTCCATGATTGCTTTTTGGCAGCCCAGGTTCTCCATGAATATCATAAGTAGCCTAATATTCCTGTGTTTCCCATTCCATATCAATTATTGTTCCCTGTAAGGCACTTTATTTCCTGAGTTAAATATAGACATGCTATTAAGACTATTATTAAAGCATAAATGTTTTAATTTCCAATATAATTTATTAGATGAACAAATTGGGGTGTGTGTGTGTTAGAAAAACCTACCTTGTTCCATTTTGGACTAGCATATAGCCTTTTTAAAAAATATTATTCAGATTTCTTCTGTTTGAAACCCTGACTCCTGGACGATATTCTAAATGTCAGCTAAAAATGTGGATGTTAAAATGCTCTCCCTCTCATTCTTTCAGATACTGTAAGTTGCTTACTCATTGCTACTGCAGTATGAGTCATTCAGGCTTCCTGTTATTGAACGAGCGTATTATTTCTCCTCTCGTTTCATGCTGCAGGCACTACAACTTTTGCTCTCCCTGCTGCCTTCATGGGCTCGCCCTGAGCCTCTCCCCCCCCTCCTGGTTTATTAGTTCAGTCCAGACTCTCCTGGTTGATCTTGTGAGTGATCAGGTGGGAGGATGCGCCTCAGAGCTTGCTAGTCTCGTATCAGTATGAAGCCCAATTCTGGGCCTCGCTTTGGCCGGCAGCATTTCCCAGTTGTTTATGTCACCCGTTTTGGGAAACACCCCTGTGGCACGAAGATTCGTTCTGGTGGCAAAAGTCCTCCTAAAAAAGCAGCCCAGGAGGACCTCCATTCCTGCCTTTCTGACAAAGCTTCTTCTGCCACTTTGGACAAAACAGGTCTAGTGGGTGTCGCCCCTCAGAGACAAAGGAGGCACCCAAGCTTGGGACCTGGGATGGTGCAAGTCCGAGGAAGCCAAACTGGACGTCGACAACCACAGAGTGAAGGCTGGAACATCAGTATGGCCAAGCCCCCAGGCCGAGAAGCTTCTAAAATAGCCCCTTCAAGGAAGAAAAGCCGGGGAAGCAAAAGGGGGGCAGCAAATTCTACAACCTCTGGTACTCAGAAATACATGGGTTATCAGCACAACCCAGCGTTTATATGATATAACACATTTCCCCAAACTGCTGCTTTCCAGATGCAAATGGCTCTTAGGCAGCAGAAGCCAATACAGTGGAGGACTGACAGATTAAAGCTTAAATACCCTGTTCTTTCTGTGAATAAGAACCATTAATTTAAAATACACGTATTTTCCCCCAAACGGGCCAATCTCATGGTGGCCAGCCAATCCAGTTATTTATTTATTTATTTAGCATATATCATATCATACATGGAGCAGCAGTATGTATTAACATCTCACCTAGATTATTAAAACACAATAAAATATAAATGTTAAAAAGATCTATGTTCAAATACCACAGTCTAGGCCATCTAACCACTGTTTATATTTTTTAAAAAATCAGAGACTGGATTGGTATATGCCCTCAGTTTACAGCCGGTCACGATGTGGTCTATAGTTTGACATGGAACCCAACAATCACACTGAGGGGAGGACACTATGCCCCATTTATACAGAGTGTCCCGGCAGATGTCATGTGAGGTGTAAATCCTATTCAGGATTGTCCATTGCTGACATGGTAATTCCTGGCACCTTTTTTGTGGGGTCATTTATATGTCTACCTACAGTATGTCTGAGTGTTCAATCCGGTAATGTTACATAAGTGGTGAACAAGGATAGGTTCACTATGAATTTTTTATTAGCAAGTGGATTTTTCTCCTCCTTCTTGGTTGCTACTGAGGCTGCGATAAGTGTTTCTCAATTTTGGCAACTTTAAGATGTCTGGACTTCAACTCCCAGAATTCCCCAGTCACTTCTTAAAGTTGTTAAGGTTGAGAAATTCTGACATAGAAAAAATGGCCTACTTTGTCATGAAGGGCATATCTTCTTCACACCCTCAAATGGCTCTTGTCCTGTTCTCCTGCAAATCTGACTCTAAACTGGTTTAAGAAAATCCTGTCCAGATTGAGATACTTTGGCAACAGTTTGTATAATAATTCAGTCCAGACTGCAGGTTACTGTGTCTTACAACTGCAGAATTCCCCTCTTGCTTTTCCCTCACAGCTCCAATAAAGCAATTGCCAACAGTTTTCCTTCCTGTGAGTGAGCTTTACTAAACTCATATATTTCATAGATATATATCTGTGTTTATGTCTATATACCCACGAGGTTAAATTGAATTTATATACATAAACATAACATAGCAAAATGCATCCCCATGCAGCACAACCAGTTCTAAAGTAAAAATTCTTTTTTTAAAAAAATGGCCCTGGCTATCTCTAATATTTTCTAAAATAGCTTTATTAGGAATGTCAATATAACATTATGGTTAAAACACTTTTTAAAATAGAAAATTCCTAGTTTAATACCCAGCAGATTTTTATTTCTTTTAACAACTATTATTCCTTCCCCTCCGCATGCAATAGCTATTTTCCCCTCATTTTTTTTTTTTTTAAGTTGAGAGCACTGGTAAAAAAAAATAAAGAAATGCTGGTTTTCTTTAAGCCTACAAGAAAAGTAGCTACTTTGGAAAAGAAAAATAATAATTTAAACAAAATTATTCATGAAATTATCTCATTTTTCCATTTTTTTCAAATATTCTTTTTCTAGAAAGATTTATAAGGATATGTGCCAGCTTAAAAAGGACAAACCATAAAGAAAGTCAGATGATATTAGATGAACTTGTATCTTATGTACAATAGACATTCTCACCTAGCATTTTCCAGATATGTTGAACTTTAATTTTGATAGGTAAAGCTTATACATCTAGTAGGCTCAGGCTACAAATGACAGATAACAATACAACTAGCAAGAGAAACAATATCGATATTATTAATACCCTAGAAGTTCTAAAATCCAGCCAAACACATACCATAACCTTACACATTCAAAATTTATTTTAAAAATGATGTCAATTACTGTTAGTTATAAGCTTTGGATGATTGAAGGAGAAAATACATAAATTACTTATTCAGAATGTAATACAATGTTCATGAAACAATGCTTCATGAAAGTAAAAAATATTCATAATTTAAAAACTGAATAAGTTTCTACTTTTTGCTTTCCAAATTAACTTCTAATATACTAAATAACAAAAACGTACAACCTAACATTATATAAGCTTTCATGTCGATCACTAGTTATAATCTAGGATGCAGACATAAAGAACAATTTTAGCATATCTAAAAATACAAATGAGCTTTTAAAAACTGATTTGCTCTAGAAAGTCAAAAGGTTACTGCCTTAGCAACACACAGCATAGTGAATCCCTCCCTCCATTTTACCTCATTTTGATTTTCATCTTCCTTTTAGTTTCAGCTGCTATATGAAGGAAAAGATGAGTGATATACGAAAACATTATATCCTCTGGAAGACCTATAATTCTGCTTTCAAATGATATGAAGCATTGGTTTTTCAAAATAGTTTGTTAAGATCAACACCTAAACATACACCTCAGTTATAATGAAACAAGAAAACATATATTTTACACCCACACGATCACAGTAGCTTAAATTGAATCACAAAATAAATACAATTAAATTACTTTAATAGGTGGCTTTGAAGAGAGTGGAGCTGATGAGTATGAATTCTCTACGTCCAAAGAAAACGCTAATGAAACGATCAGGGAACAAAAGAAAAAGGTAGAACATCAGAATAATAGCAATAGTAATACACTGAAAAATGCTTTGGCTAGTACACTGGGTCTCAGTTGTGGTTGAAAATGGTTTTCTGAACAAATCATATTTGTTCATTGTATACTGCTTCAGTATTCAAATAACATGTTAAAGGAATAATGACAATTTAGTTGTGACAAATGTAAAATGCTGCCTACTGAAGATGGAAGTGCTGATTTCAGAGTTAAATTCCTTCCTCCAATCTAGGGGAATCTGAAGTTACAGGTCTACATGTATCCCCCAGCCTCATTTTTATAATATGAGGCATACTTTCCAAACATTTGGAGGCAGGTTATACACATAAATTGTGGAGTAAGTCCTGACTAAGTTTAACATAGTTAAACAATAACTTCTCTCTACCTAAACTTTAATAGTAGGAAGACATATATCATTTTGCATCGTAACTGTTTTTCTAGGTTCTCAGAAAAGTTTAATAAAGTGCACAAACATTTTTATTTGTTTTATTATAAACAAATTAACTCAAATTTCATATAGTCAAATGTCAGAAATACTTATTTTGAAATAAGAACAATTATTAACTTTAACAGAATGTTTTAAAAGCTTATGTGGGATCAAAGAATAAGCAGGACAATGCCTTCATTATCAAAACTATAGCTAGATTCTCATAGAGTTCATTTATTTTCCTTGATGGTGATGCAATTCATACCCCATACAAACAGTGGTGGCTTTGAACATGTCATCATCCTGGCTTAAAATGCATGTGAATTAAATAGTATTTGATGTCATTGCTAGCTAGCATATTAAAGTTAGCATATTACTATTAAAATGCTGAGGAATGATTTTTGAGTTATATTGTTAACACAGACCCAAATTGCATTAAAAAAAATCCTTATGAGGGAAACAAACTTTTTGAGATAAGCATAGACATACTTTAGGTTTCTTTGCCAAGTATACATATTTCTTTGAATTGCCCTAAGGCTGGCCAAAAGGGATTCAGAGATGGTGGTTCATAGGAAATGATTTAGAACTGGAGTAGGGAAAATGAGAGAGAGAAAATTCTTGATACATGAAGCAGTATGGTTCTGTATGTTTCTCACATAACTTTTTTTCCCCTAGTCTGCAGTGTGGCTTGAAGTATTTGAAGTAATTTCTAAAATGGTAGAAGAAAATGGATACTTTAGGAATAGATTGGTGTCTAATTTTCATTTTTCAGTTGAAGGTAAGTAACAAGTGAACTCCTTTCACAAGGAGAAGTTGCGGGATAATTGAGCATAATTTTTACAAAATGCATTTGTTAAAAAGGACTTTCAAATTAATTTTTATCTTACAAACTGAAAACAAAATCTCCTTTTTCCTCCTTTAGACCAAAAAGCTGTTGTCCAGTCTATCTAATGTTAATTACAGTACACTTAAAGCTTCTGAAATTATGTACTGGTAATGACTTGAATCTTTGCAGGAATCCAAATTAAAGCATACTCAATAGATAGCCATCAATCTGCTATTGTACAAACTGGTTGAATCTGCTCTTGAATTTCATTTTTTCATTATCAGGGTTTTCTAACATTCATATTTGTAAAGAAAGTAACCTCAGGAGGTGAAAGCAACTGGCTTATCTTATCTGGGCTCAAAGGCTAAGCATGGAAGACTTGGGAATCCCAAACTGAGGTGGAGGAATGGGTATGTGAGGCTGAGAAGTAAAAAACAACCTGTAAGAAAGCAGTGAGGACGCAGTGGCTCAGTGTCTAAGATGCTGAGCTTGTTGATCAGAAAGTTGGCAGTTCAGCGGTTCAAATCCCTAGTGCCGCATAACGGAGTGAGCTCCTGTTACTTGTCCCAGTTTCTGCCAACCCAGCAGTTCAAAAGCACGTAAAAAATGCAAGTAGAAAAATAGGGACCACTTTGGTGGGAAGGTAACAGCGCTCCGTGCTTCAGCTTCTTGCTGGCCACATGACCATGGAGACATCTTTGGACAGCACTGGCTCTTTGGCTTAGAAATGGAGATGAGCACCACCCCTAGAGTCAGAAATGACTAGCACGCATGTGCGGGGGGGGGGGGGGGGGAACCTTTACCTTTAGAAAAGCAGTCCATTAAGTTATAAGCATTTGCATTTGTCTTAAAGGAAGCTTTTTTAGCACAATTCTGTGTCCTGCATTCTGAAACAGTAGAAACAAGCCTTGATTTTTTTTTAATGTGATAATGTTTTAGTGCACATAAAAGTGAACAGGTCAAATTAACGTTCATTTATTTGAGTGGAAGCCAATCTATAGAGAAATTTAGATTGGTTGTGTATTAATCTGAATTATTCCATTATGGCTTCCCAATAAAAACATCACAATGCTACAGAGCACTTGATACAGAATCCTATGGATTTCTTTTTTCAAGTAGGTTTCCCATGCAATCTAGAACACCTGTTCTAGTTGCTCAGGAAGCCATCAGAGCAATCTTCTCCCTATAAATTATCCCTTCAGAGAATAAATGCCTATTTTATTTGTTTAACTGATAATCTGCCTTTTCTCTGAAGCTGAAAGTGATGTATGTGGAGCTCTCTCCTTCATTTCCCCCCCCACAACTTTTGGGAAATTGTGGGGCTAGGAAATAATCACTGGCCCAAAATCAGATCTTGGAACTTCAGTTGCTAAGAATTGTTATGTATCTGGGTTTCTCAGGTTCAAGCCCAATACTTTAATCATTTTACTGCAGTGAGATGAATGGAGCATTGACTCATCACTAATTTTTCTCTCACCTTTTTTTTTATTATGTGGAGTAGCAATTCTGAATAGAGTTAATTCTGACAAGATTTTTTTGCCTGATTAACAAGGGGATAGACAATTTATTCTTGCATATTTATGCAAATCTTCCTTGGTTAGAAGTAGTATAACTCTTGTGTGATTTGACATGTGGCAGTTAAGTGTTCTCTTAAACTGTTTTTTTTTTTAATTCATAACTGGCATTCATTATTCCATGCCTTAAGGATGAATGAGATGCATTTCAAAACAAATAATTTGATTTGGTGGTTTCTTTATTGATTTGTTCTGCTAATTGTATTTCTTGCAGCATAACTGCCCACAATGGCTGGGAACTGGGCAGCATATACTGTACATTTAATAATAATTAATAATAATAAAATAAGTTATTTGCCATTTTCTACTTCAAGAAGGTTTCCCAATTTTCCAATCAAACCAACAGCTCTAGGATTCTCAAGTGCTGATAAGAATTAATTTTGTTTAGTTTTTGTTCCCACAATCGGCCAAGATAATTGAATTGTTCCCACATTAATGGCATTAACATCTAATTATTTGTTATCCAAGTAGATGCTGCAAAGAATTCTCAGCAACCTTTGACCATACAAGGTAGGACAGGGACGTTTAACTAGCTTCTTATTTAGTTTACTATAACACATAGATGATGGTTTAGAATTCCTGTTGTTATAATTCCTAAGTATGAGGACAAGAGTGTTGATAAGAAGTGAGTGATATAAATACATTTTTAATGATCTTCCCTGATATGTTGTTCATTTCCAGTCCTAATTTAATGTATTTGAGCAATAAAGCCCTTCATGGCTGGGAACTGTAATATCTGAAAGAATGCTGCTTCCTGTATATCCCTATATCCTAAAGCCATCTCAAATGGCCTGCTTTAGCTGCTCTCCCTCATTGTTATGTGGATAGAGTGGGTAACTAGCAGGAAGGTTGTTCAGTTGTAGCTTTTCAGCTTTGGAATTCTCTCCCCAGAAAGGCAATATTTTGGCTGTACTTTCCATGCTTTCAACTGGCAAGGGATTAGAGGGAGAAACAAAGAGAATCAGTGTAGAGCAGTTGGCTTGCAGAGCTGTTCCTGGCCTGGTCCTTGATGTTAGATTCAAAATCAGCTGCCTGGGGATTTGCCCATTCTAAATGCACTTTTCCAGCTAGAATGCCTGAGATTTAAAATCGAAAAGCCTTGATCACAGAGTTGACAGAAAAGATTTCTGTTGTCAACTGCCATTGCCTTGCTTATTTGATAAAGGCAGATTTTTTTTTAAAAAATTCCCAAGCTTTTTAATGTGTAAATATTGGGGTGATATTTTTAACTTTTAATTGCTGCTTTTACTCTCCGTTAATGTATGCTTTATTTTATTTTGTAAATTTTTGCAGTTTTTAAAATAGGCTTTTATAATTTTGTTAGCCTTTTATTAACCTCAATTTTAAACTACTCAGATATTTTTAAATTGCAATAATGTACAAGCATATTAAATAAATAAATAGTCATTTCTTTAACATTAAATGAAGGATGCACAGGAAAGCTACATCCTCATGAAATAATAAGTATTTAATACAAAATATAATAGTAAAGAATCTCCAGCTGTAAAATTAGAACAAGGATGATTCTATACAACATATGTGTGATTTATTGATAATCACTGTGTATGCTGTTGATAATTCATTGTGTATGCTGATTCTGACTTAGAAAAATGTAATTTTAGAAAAATTTTCATCCAAAGGTGGCCTGGATGCAGAATTTCATTATATGAAAATGAAGCAAAGATTAAAACTGACATTCTATTGATGTAGTTTCCATTAGATTAAAGCTGTGTTGCTGTTGCACAATTCAAAGTAACACAATATTAAGCTTACCAACTTAATTTGAATTTCTAGCTTCATAGTTTAATTAGTTTTAGGAAACTGATTTACCAATCCATTAAGTGTTAACTGATTAAATTTATACTGACATATTCCCTCCTTCAATTTGTCTTTGCTCAGAGTAACATTTAAGTTTGTAAACTATGTGAGAGCAGAATATTTATCAGAATATTGCAAATGAATGCTGGTAAATTGGAATGCTTCATATTTCTTTGAATTATTAACATGATAAACAATACCAGCTAGCCAGATTACATTTTTTTATTTTCTTTATTGTATATGAAGTGCTTTGGGATGATTTTTACTAGTACAAGTACCCAGTTTTTTTAAAGAAATAAAAATAAATTTAAAGGAATTGACAATCCATATTATACATGGTAGAAATTTAATATTAATACATTATGCCATCTTTTAGTATTTTATATATTCAAATTTTAAAATTGGTTTTAAATAGTTCGGGGTTTTAATTTGTCTGGGCCAAAACTATTTAATTTGATTTTAATTCTACTTTTAAATTTTGTATGTATGTGTTTTATTGTTTGGCTGTGCACCGCCCTGAGTCCTTTGGGAGTAGAGTGGTATAGAAATAAAATAAAATAAAATAAAAATAAATAAATAAATAAATGTATCATAAGATACTATCTATTCTGAGTTACAAATAATTTTCTGTTTGTTCAACAGGTGCATGTCATAGATTTTTGGCTGTTAATCATGATCTGTAATTTAACCTATCATACCATTTTATAGAAATCTTCTGCTTCTGTAATTTCAAAATTTCATTTGGCTTCAGCTTATTGGCTATGATGCACAGATGAAAGAAGCATAGGACCCAGATTCAATATGCTGACTCTAAACCGCTTAGAGAGGGCTGTAAAGCACTGTAAAGCAGTATATAAACCTAAGTGCTATTGCTATTCCTATACGAAAACATGGAATTTGTTGAAGCACATCCAGTACACCAAGTACAACTGGAATATCTATGTAAATCTAAAAAGACATATCTTGGAAGACATATCAGATATACCAAGTACTATTGTTATATATGTGAATGGAACAGTCGGGCAGGAGAGGCACATTATATTAAAAAAACCTGGCTGCTCCGAAAGAATTTGGTTCCACTATAGAAAAATGTGGCATGTGAACTGCTTCTTGATCCAACAAAGATGTGCTTCACATAAAACTGGGACTGATGAAAATTTTTGTGAAAGCGATGAACAAGGATGGTGAAGGCTTTTTGTATTTGAGCAGATGTTTCCAAGAATAACTGATGCCAAGATTAAGGAGAACATTTTTGTTGATCTAGAGATTAGATATATCATCATTGATAAGTGATTTGAAGATGTGTTAGTGGGGCCAGAGAAAATCGCCTGGAAAGCATTCAAGGATCTTGTTGAGAATTTTCTTGGCAACTATAGAGCAGCAAACTACATTCAGCTGGTTGATAAACATACAGCATTCAAGACCATGAAGTGTAACATGTCACTGAAGATTCATTTTTTCTGCATTCACACTTGAACTTCTTTCCCAAATATCTAGGTGCAGTCAGTGACAAACATGGTGGAAGGTTTCACTAGAACATTGCCACAATGGAAAAAATAATATCAGGGCAACTGGAATCCATCAATGTTGGCTGACTATTTTTGGATGCTGCAGCAAGATGCATCAGCAGTAAAATACTTTTAGCCTGTTGAACACATACAGCATGTCAGAAACATTATGTGATTAAATACTTTATAGTAATTAAACATTAATTTCATATTTCTCAAGATTCCTACGTGATACAGACATTCTGAAATTATATTTGTATTCAGTTTGAGGAGTCTATCATAATCACCAAAACTTTTTCAGGAAGCAAAACCTTTTGAAAAAAATTGTTATCCAGTGAACTAATGTTTATAATGCATCTTAATTCAATTTGTGCATGATGAACATATTTACTAGTGTTTGATCTTGATTCTAATCCTGTTTACCTAACAATATAAGTGCTATATGCAGTCTATGTTGGAGTCAAAGCTCTTGAAATAGGAGGGTCCCTTGCAGCCTTGTCCTGCATTGCTTTCTTACAATAAGAATTATACTGTTTAAATGCACTTCTATTTCTTTTAACTAAAAATGGATTTTATGGACATACAGTACTTCCACTTAAAACATGTTGTCATACATTGGTGCTGAAAAGAAGAACTGTTTTGTCAAAAATCTGTTTATATCTTCAGAGGAAAGAATGGATATGAATAATTCTCCCTACCTCTCCTCATTTGTCATCATTCATTAGAAATTATATATTGGCAATTATCTTTGGCTATAATTTGCATTTTTAAAAAGGCACTATTATGTTACTTCATCGCTAATTGTAGCTCCTTTTTTCCCAGAGCTTTAATTGTGGCTCACTTATTAAACTCTATTTAGCTGAAAGCGCTTGATTCTAATGCCTTTTTTTAATTACTAGATTTTGCACAATATTGCACCAAAGAGATAAGTTTCCTATTGATCTGAATTCTTTATCAGATAAATTGTGAAAATAAATGGAGTAGTCCAAATAGGATTGTAAGATACAGAATAACAAATCTGAAGAAACAGGTTTATAAGTGATGTGCAATGTGTTCTCTTATCTTTATCTAATATAATTTTAATACTATACATTGTTTAATGGGGATTATGAAAGTCATTTCCCCCATAAAACAAAGTACTGTTCACTGTAGTGACTAAAGTGCTGGGTTAGAAACCAGGAATATGTGAGTTCTAGTTTTACGCATGAAAGCTGGTTGGGCTACTTTGGGCCAATCTTTCTCTTTCAGCCCAATCCACCTGATAGAGTTTTTGTGAAGGAAAATAAGACACAAGGGTCAGGGGTGGGTTCTACTTACCTTTACTACTAGTTTGCAGTGGGGCCACGTGCGCTCGCTTTGCTTGCGTGCACATGCACAGAAGCATTTTGATGATGTCAGGATCAGTGGGCGGAGCCTCCCGCTGGTTTTACTACTGGTTCTATAGAACCGGTGCGAACCGGGGGCAACCCACCACTGACAAGGGTGTTAAGTATGTACACTGTCTTGAATTGACCAAAAATACAAGGCAGGATAAAATGAAATCTAATCTATTCTATATCTGAAATTCTTATACAGGTACAGATATAAATCAGAATTTGCAAAGTGAAATTTCTTTTACTGACACAGTAAGTAAAACAAGTTTTGTTTCAATGACAAAATAGGATTAAAATATATGAAAATATGGCATTTATACACTTTGGCCCAATGGAAACCATTCATTAGATTTACTTGTAGAAATACTTTGGGTTACAGTTACATTATTGCTTTGTATATTGTATATAGTTTTAGTTTTTAACTTATATTTCTTTTACTGTATATCTTCTAGCATTTTATTATTTTCCACTGTAATTTTCACTCCACTTTTGGTATAGCATGTTAGGTTCTTTGTGCTCCTTTTTAATAATTGTACCCACCCCCTTATTTTGTAGCAATAATAAAAAATTGGTTTGGAAACACTTTTTTTGCCCAACCACATGTATTTACATTGGTCAAAGCTAATTTCAGAGACAAATAAATGTCAGTAATAAAGTCAATAATGACAATGGAATGCGTGGCACTAGGAAAGTAGATATTATGGTAAAAAAGATTAAGTTATTGAACAGCTACTGTAGGTGATTTTTAAAGCTGTTACAAAATACTACGAGTTTGCCTTTTCATCCAAGGTAGTATATACACTTTTATTCCAAATAAACTAAGGGAACTTTTGTCGATGCAATTTTTCATAATGGTTTCCTCAAGAGATATTATTTATTAATTGAAAGATATTATTTTCTTTTATAATAGACCCAAGACATGGATATGTCTAGCATGAAACTATAGATTCCAAACATGTACATTTCGAAATTATATTGTTTACCATATTTCATTTTTTTGATTGCTAACAGAAGGAGACTATTTAGTCAAATTGTTTTTCATTATTTGAATTTGTAGAATATAGTATTAATATTTGCTGAGTGCAAATCCCAAGGAATAAATTTGTTTATTTATGGTAATTTCTCCTATTATACTTTAATGTTAGGGAGGAGTCTCTGTTAGTATCAAATATTACCATATTACCAAGATACATAGGGAGGATCAATTTTATTCCATGCCTATCGGCCCTTCGAGGCAGATTATGTCAGGAAACAGATTCCATAAAAATGTTAGAAATCTACCTTATTGATGTAGACTGTATAGTGGAAACTTGACAGCCAAAGTGTGTTTTCCTTTCCTTCATTTTATAATCCAGGGATTTAAGGGAAAATCAGCTTGAGTTTCTTTTTAATGGTCTTTCATTTCTAAGGCTTAAAACATTATTATTTTGCATTTCATTCAAAAAAAGCTCCTTTTCATTTCACTCTCACCACACTATGCAATGGGTTTGGATAAGAAGTAAGATTGGCTTTTCTACAATATGCGCAGAATATTCTGCAGTTATACTGTATATTCTGCAAAATATATCTGCACACATAGAAGGCTCTTAATAAATTACGATTTTGCAGATAGATAAATTAAAGTTTTTCAACTTGATATATGCTGAAAAGAAATACCCAGTGCATTTGTTTGTTTTAACAAGATGTTCTTAACCAAGATATTTAATCGTTTTCTTTTAGGATGAGGCAATTTTTGGATGGGTGTAAAAAAAAAAAAAGAAATAAGAAAAAGAAGATTTATTTATAGTTATTATTTTCATTGTTATATACAATTAGCACCAACCATTCAAGAGAAAAACATTCCCACCATCAGAAGTGCTGGAACATAAGTGCCATATAGTTTATATAAAGAATATACAATATAAAGTGAAAAGTATGTATTTGTGATTACTGCATTTAGTGCATTTATGATTACATTACACTGTTATAATATTTTGTTTAAATTCTGAGTAAACAATGCTCTTTGTTAGTATTTTGTATAAATTCTTATATAAGAATACAATATAATATGGATCTAATGCTACTGAAAGAATAGTTAGAATTTCAGAAAAAAAATAAGTTTGTATGAAATAAATATGTAAATCGAAACATCTGAAGTTCTGAATTAATTTTATTCCCATGCAATTAAAATTGCATACTGAATCTTTGTATGTAAGTTTAAACATTTAAGTAGCAGTCAGTCATCAATCTCAGGTTGCCATAAGTAAAGTGAAGCAGCAAAGTGTGAATTCATAAAGGTGATGAAGATGGGATGCAGCGGCAGTATTTTATTATTGCAGTTAGGCATCCCAATGTTATTCAACCGTGTAACCTACAAAGTGTTAAAAGGAAGGGTCATTCTCCTTCCAACATTCACTGTCATTATATAACTTTTCATTGCTTCCTTGCCTCTATGGATTATTGCCTGGAAACCTCATGAGTCATACTGCAAAATTATATTATCTAAGAGTAATATGTTTCCTGAAAACCCCAATAAAAATGATCCTTTCCTGAACAATAGAACATTGTCACACTTGTTATTGTTTATTATCAATCATAATACCAGCATTTATAATGTTATTTATTTATTTAGGCTCTAGAACAATAAATTTGAACATTTCTGCCCCCATCTACATCTTCATGTCTTCATCTTCAACTTCATGCCTTCAGCATAGCATTCCACCTGAGAATGTTGTCACAGAGTTGATATTCAGCATCCATGTACAAAATATAGTCTAGATGTAGGTAATGCATTTCCATGCAATTTCCTGTTCCCTAGTGGTAATACATAAATACTCTTCTGCATGAAATTTCTCTAAAATAGAGATGTGATAGTTTGATAGTTTACAGTGCAGGAGCTTAGCACACTGTAAGGCCTAAAATTGCTGCCTGCAATATATAAACTGCACAAATAGGAACAGCACAAAAAAAAAAAAGCCAAAATTAAAAAAAAAAGTTTGACTTCTTTACTCTTGCCCTTTTCATTGGGAATTTAATGCAATATTAGTTAAAAGTAGCTGATGACTTCATAGTTAATTGACTAAATATATTGTATTTAATTTCCAATTCCTGCTTTCAGATTACCAGATGTTAAGCTTGTTTGAGAACCCCAAAACAATCAACCCAAGAATAAAAAAAAATCTAGACACACGAAATGCAGGATTTTCCATAACATCATTGTACTTTCCTGAAAGACAACTTATCCCATTCAGTGCAGATCTTTAAAAGGTTATACTTGGATTTGAAGAAAATATCTAAATTGCAGTCAAATAGTTACTGTTACAAACTTGGGCATTGGTCCAACCTAAAAGTGGAGAATCTGTAGCCATTAAATTGCTGTTTCCTGCAGTCTGGCCAAGGATAAAAATGTTGGAAGCTGCTATTCAATAAGACCTGCTCATAAGAAAATACATTTGTGCTAGTTTTCTCTGATCGAATTATAACTCATTTACAGCTTGGTGTTAGGAGAATTAAATGTAGCAACAGACAGTATATAGGCTTAGATTTTCATTAGGGAACCCTACAAGATATTATTATTTATTACAAGATAAAAGTCTTTTTAAAAGATGTTGATTGCTTTCATCTGTCCTTGATATTAACATCCCTCAGGAATGAAACCTTGTATTAATTATGTCTGGTATATATGGTATGCAAATGAGGTTGTATGTCCTTAGATTCTACATTTTAAAATTGAATGTGGAAAAAAAACCCCACAATGCTTTTATTTTCTGAAGTTTTTTCAGTTGATGATGAATAAGTCTGATCAATATGATAAGAGTGAACTGGGAGAGAATTAATTGTCTTTGTTTTACAAAGGTATCCTTGAATGAGAATGAGAGAAAACATTCATGTAAAATGATAGGTCCAAGTAAAAATTGCACCCAATCAACATCTGAGGTGCTTTATTTTATTGAATTCCTACAGCCTCAGGGAATATATCTGCCTATTTATTTTATTTATTTTTATTTTATTTTTGAATTTGTATACCGCCCTTCTCCCTGAGGACTCAGGGCGGTGAACAGCCAGATAAAAACATCAAATACAAATATTAAAACACATTTAAATATATATATAGATTTGGCCCCATTAATTAAAAACGATAAGCAAAACAGAACAATTAATAAAACCCTTAAAAAGAAATTAAGCCAGCCCGGCTTGTTGAAAAAAGAAAGTTTTAAGGGCACGGAGGAAGGCACTGAGGTCATGGATTCTCCTTATCTCAGGGGGCAACTGATTCCAGAGGGTAGGTGCCCCCACAGAGAAGGCCCTCCCCCTGGGGGTCACCAGCCTGCATCTACGGCTATGGGAAGATATTTTTTCTCTACCAGAATGAGCTCAAGCATTAGGTGCAATGGAATAGAGGCTTTGGGTTGCACACACAGGTCAAGTAAAATAGGGCCTAGCCCACAGCCACGGCTACTCTGGTTGTTAATAACTTTATCTGCCTCTAATGTCATTCACTGAATGAGATTTCCATACATCCACCCACTTCAAGAAAGCACATGGATTTTGATGCCTTGCTTTGAGAAGCCTCCAAATAGAAGCATCAAGGTCATAAAGACTGAAGCCAGTATGCTGTTACCATCTTCTTAATCTGAAGAACACCTCAGAGAGAGGTGTAGAATTGACTGGGTGGGAGGTCCTACTCAATACATGTGGTTGCCCTGGCCAGCTCTTTGGAAGCAGCCTGAAACCCAGAGGTGGGTTTCAGCAGGTTCTGACCAGTTCTGGGGAACCGGTAGCAGAAATTTTGAGTAGTTCAGAGAACCGGTAGTAAAAATTCGGTCTGGCTCCGCCCCCATCTATTCTCTGCCTCCCAAGTCCCAGCTGATTGGGACGAAATGGGGATTTTGCAGTAACCTTTCCCTGGAGTGGGGAGGAAATGGAGATTTTGCAGTAACCTTCCCCTGCCACACCCACCAAGCCACACCCACAGAACCAGTAATAAACAATTTTGAAACCCACCACTGCTGAAACCAAAGCTAATTATTTCCAAGATTCTTGCTGAATTTTTACTAAGTTTGTTGAGATGAGAGGGATAGGATTATAACAAGCCCACTGAATTATTTCCCATTTAGAACCTAATAGGCAGAGGATTTTTGGTTTCTAACAGCCTTTCTATGATCTGATGAAGAGCAGGTCTACTCACTAGCAACAGAAATGCTTGCAATACACTGTTTACTTAAGAGTCTACAGACCTGAGTGAGGGGTCCTTGGTGCTCTCTGAGCTTGATTGGTTTTTTTGCAGATGTTTCATTACCCAAACTAGGTAACATCATCAGCTAGCATTGATGATGTTATTTCTCATGTCAACCCTGAGCTATAAATATTCTCCTTTATTAGTCTATAGATTGTTCATTAGCCTAGGATCTCATTATTACAGATGAAAACTGTGCCAATAAAGTTGCCTTTTGCAATTGACTGATGGTGATTTTGTCAGTGTCAATGGTGTTCAAGTGGTAATCTAGATGTAATGCACCCAAGGCATTATAAGTATTGTCTTTGCTTGCTTTTGCCACAGCTATTCTACTTCTACTTTCAGGTCTTTGTAGTTTGTGATTTTCTCCAGTTATTTCTCTTCTATTCTGCTGTCTCCAGGTACTGTCTCCAGGTACTGCAATATCCACTATCCAGATTTTTTTTTTCTGGACAATTGTTAAGTCTGTCAAGTAGTCAAGTGTGCTTGTCTGCTTGAATTATAAAGTGTCCGAGCACTTTCATTTCTTCATTTTCTATTATTTTGTCTATTTTGTGGTCCCATCCATTGCTGCTTGTAGGCAAGTGGTATTTCTTGCAGATATTCCAATGACCCAATTTTGTTACTTTGCCAAGCCACTGTTTATATCCAGTCTGAATGATTTTCTTGCAACAGCTAACTAGGGGGTCCATAATTTCTTCAGTTTCTTTGTACAGGCAGATTTTGTTGTCTGTTGCTGTCTTCTTAATTCAGACTTTGCATACATTTGTTCTTAAGGCTTGGTCTTGTGCAATCAGAATTATCCCCTTGGCAGTGGTGGGATTCAAATAATTTAACAACCGGTTCTCTGCCCTAATGATTTCTTTCAACAACCAGCTCACCAAACTGCTCAGAAGGTTAACAACTGGTTCTCCTGAAGTGGTGCGAAGTGGCTGAATCCCACCACTGCTCCTTGGTCTCTTTTTTCAATTTTCCCACTCTTAGCCATTGCCGGGACTTGTTATTATCTAGTTGTGTGTGTCTGTGTGCACGTGCATGCACATGCACATGTATTGGCCATGTAATACTCTTCCTTGCCATGTCTCTTCTATTTTTCCTTTGTTTTTTTCTTGTAAACCAGTTTGGTCTCTTCGGTATTCGGTAAGCTTCCATGGTGTACTAGCTTCAGTGCATCTTCATTGTCCTTCAGATATTCTTCCAGTGTCCTTTTTCTTCTTCCATTTTCTATTTGCAATATTCCACACTCATCTATGTTCCTTAGCAAGTAGTCAACATTGCTGCATGGATAAAGGGCATAATTCATTGTCATTATTTTTCTGGTCCTCCTATCCAGTGCTTTTAATTCCACTTGAGTCTAGTCCACTATTCCTGCTGAGTATCTAATGTGTTAATTGCTATTATTATAATTTAAAATTTATTGTAGTCGTTCAACTTCAGTGGATACCGGGTCGCATATAAAACCAAAAAATCCATAAAAACAGATAAAACAAAACCACCTAGATAATCTGGACTAAAACAATCTGAAAAGCAACACAAATCAAACAGAATAGCCCCATCCCAAAGTATAAAAATAACATCAGCCCCAGGCTTGGGGCCAAAGTCAGATTTTGAAGGCTTTCCAGAACCCTAGGAAGAGGGCACAGTCCCTATCTATCTATCTATCTATCTATCTATCTATCTATCTATCTATCTATCTATTTATTATATTTATATACCGCCCTTCTCCCGAAGGACTCAGGGTGGTGAACAGCCAAGATCAAATACATAAATATAAAAATTAAAAAACAATTTAAAACCAGATTAAATATTTTGGCCCATAATTTAAAACATCCCATTAAAATCCAATTTAAAATTTAAAATTGTTAAAATTAGGCTAGCCCGGCTTGCTGGAATAACAAAGTCTTCAGGGCTCGGCAGAAGGTGCGCAAGTCCAGAATCCTCCGTACTTCCGGGGGCAGCTCATTCCAGAGGGCAGGAACCCCCACTGAGAAGGCTCTCCCCCGGGGGGTCGCCAGTCAACATTGTCTGACCAACGGCACCCCGAGGAGCCCCGCCCTGTGGGAGCGTACTGGCCGGTGGTAGGCTCTTGGTAGCAAAAGGCGGTCCCATAAGTACCCAGGTCCTAAGCCATGGAGCGCTTTAAAGATGTTAATCAACACCTTGAATCACACCCGGAAGACTACTGGGAGCCAATGCAGCTCGTGCAGGAGAGGAGTTACATGGGAGCGCCCCGCCGCTCCCATAATCACCCGCACAGACGCATTTTGGACCAGTTGGAGCCTCCGGATGCTCTTCAAGGGGAGCCCAATGTAGAGAGCATTTCAGT